GGCCCCCGCCCCGCGCGAAGAGCGCCCCCCCCCCCCCGCGCAGCGCACGCGCTAGGCCCGTGCGCAGCGCGCCGCTCTCGCCGCGCCCCCGCCGCGCCGCCGCGGGGCCCGCCGCCGCCGACGGCAAGAGTTATGTCGGGCCCGTTCGACGAAAAAATAAAAAATACCCCAAAAATATGCTCGAAACATGATCTGGCGTCTATTCGTCGATGATTGTTTTACCCTTTGGGGGTATTTTTGGGGGACTTGTCTTTTCCCGTCGAAAATCCCCCTGTAGGGGGACGCGCCCGACATCAGGCAGGAGCCCCTGCGCCCAGCAGGGCGCGCGGGCAGGCGCGCCGCACGCGCGCAGGACGCGCGGGCAAAAAAAGGATTGCGCAGAACGCGTCGTCGTCGTCGTCGCCCGTCGTCGTCGTCGTCGTCGTCGTCGCCCGTCGTCGCCCGTCGTCGCCCGTCGTCGTCGTCGTCGTCGTCGTCGTCGTGCTCGTCGTCGTGGTCGTCGTCGTCGTCGTCGTCGTCGTCGTCGTCGTCGTGCTCGTCGTCGTGGTCGTCGTGGTCGTCGTCGTCAGGGCCAGGGCAAGACACAGGACACGCCGAATCCGTGCTGGCACGGGAAGGAGGGAGGCGGAGGAGGTCGAGGAAGGAATGATGATGGATGATGGATGATGGATGCTGGATGATTATGATGATGACGATGACGATGACGATGACGATGACGATGATGATGATGATGATGATGATGATGATGATGATGATGATGATGGTGATGGTGGTGATCATGGTGATGGTGCTGATGATGGTGATGATGATGATGATGATGGTGATGATGGTGATGATGGTGATGGTGATGGTGATGATGATGATGATGATGATGATGATGATGATGATGAAGATGATGAAGATGATGAAGATGTTTTGTTGGCCTCCACAGGACGATACACGCACAATCATTTTACAGAGATTGGGAGAGGAAACATCCGCACAGGAGAACAAAAACATCGGGGAAACCAAAAGGTACAGATACTCCCCGGAGCTCTCCCTGGGTGCGTTCTGGTCAGGATTTCGAGGCGAATCCACTCGTGGCGAGAAGGGCCTCCGGGGAGGCCCAAAAAGGGGAAAACGAGGCCAGAAAGAGGGCCTCTGAAACATCCACCGTCAGCTCGCTCGCATCATTCGGGGAACAAGCCATGACATGAACATAAACTTTCGGAGCTCCGCGCAGATTTCTCGGATCGGCGCTGGATCCCCCTGGCGGCGCCTCTGGCGCCGGAGCACCGAGAGTTTACGCTTATGTCAGGTCGGGCATGTCCTGCTACAGTCGGATTTGGGAAACACAAACAAAACCATAATCAGCCCAGCATAGAATCAGAAATGATCCAGAGGGCCCGAAACATCGTCACCAGGCTATGTTGTCTACTATTCTTAGATAGTGCCTCCTGCAGGGGGACATGCCCGATGTAACGCCCATGGCACGACCTGCTCCCCGCCGAGGGGCACGCCCCTCGGCCGAACCCCCCCAAAAGACACTCCCCAAAGAATCAAAAGATGGTCAAAGAACCTTCCCCAGAGTCTGTCATTTTGCTGTTTACGAATGTTCCCCCTTGTGAGGGGACATGCCCGCCTTGAGTCTTGATTGGGGAGAACATGCGAGAGGGCACAAGACCCTTCCGAGGGCCGCGTTGCCAGAGGGGGTGCAGAGGACATGGGTCGTGAAACACAAGACTGGCCATCGCTCGGACGTCCATTCCCCGTACATGTTTCGATGTCGTGCGCACGAATGTTTCGCAACATGACCCAGGATGCTCCTCGATGGTCCTAGCCGAGACGAAATGCACACGTCCGAGCGATGCCAAACAAGACAGAAGGGTACCCTTGACTTGGAAGGGTCGACCCGCTCACCAAGCTCGACTGTGCCTGCATGCCGTCCGGTGACAGCGCATCACTGCGCGGAGCACCCGTCGCAGGAACGGTGAGCAGAAGGGAGGGGCGCGGCGGGACAAGGCCCCCAAAGAGGCCCCCAAGAGGCCCCGGGAGGTCCCGAAGAGGCCCCCGAGAGGCCTCCCAGGAGACCGCAGGAAGCCCACCCAGGCGCGGACACACGGGGAGGCGAGGGCCGTCAAGCAACACGGGCAGGCGGAGCGAGCGAAGCGAATCGGCACCGGCGAGCAGGAAGGGGGGGCCGCGCGGGGGCGGGGAGGCGGAGGAGGGGGAGGGAGAGAGCTGAAGGGGCCCCAGGACACACAAATAAATACACACAAATAAAAAGATTCCCCATATGTTCCCATATGTTCTGGGTTTCTGCCTTCCCCCCCACGTCCCATATTTTCCCATACTTTCCTGGGAATCGAAGATTAATTGTGTCTGTGTGTTTTTTCCCCTCCTGAGCGAGGACGGGGAGGCGGAGGAGGGGGAGGGAGAAAGCGGCAGGGGGAGAGGGGCAGCAGCAGCAACGGGGTTGCAAGAGGCGGTGAGGAGACCGATGGACGGGTGCGGTGGCACGGTCGGACCTGGGACGGAAGAACATCCTGCAAGAGCATGGGGCACCTGGGACGGAAGAACATCCTGCAAGAACATGGGGCCCTCCGCCGGGCAAGCTGAAGAACAGTCGAGGGCACCACTCCCCAGGATGCACAAGAGCACCCAACAAGCACGAAGAACATCAGGGCATCCTCCCCAAACCGACCTCGATCTTGCACCCCGGTCCGACCGTAGCCACCAGTGGGGCTTCTGCACCACATGTGCTGAGGCCTTTCCCACAGGAACCGCTATTGGAACTGGAGGACATCCTAATCTCTCCGCCTCCTCCTCATCCTCCGCAAGCTCCTAGTCTTTCTCATGTTCCTCCTCCTCCTCCTCCTCCTCCTCCTCCTCCTCCTCCTCCTGCTCCTCCTTCCTCATCCCCTTCCTCTCCCTCTTCCTCTTCCACCTCATCCTCATCCACACCGCCTCCTCCACCTTACCTTCCTCCACCGCCTCTCCCCTTCTCCTCGCGCTGCTCTCGAGCGCATGGCAGTTGCAGCCACCAGATGGCGCGCGAGGGCCCTGCAAGTGTTCGCAGACTCGGGGTTTGTGGACTCTCAGGGGCTTGCTGGGACCTCGGATGTCACCCTGGAGTTGGACCCCGAGGGCTGAGACAGCCTCCACGAGAGTTGGTTGGAGGCGAGGGGGGGGCCTTTGGAGGGAAGGGAACGGGTCAGCCTGCCCGGTGCTGCTGCTGCCCCTCCACTGCCACCACCTCCCCCCCAGCCGCCTCCCTTCGAGGGCGTAGTCCAGGCCTTGGGGACTCCTTGGGAACTCCACGGCCAGTGTTGTGCAAGCGGAACCCCTCGACATGGAAGGTGCTGCGGGGCCTCCACGTGTCGTCAGGTCCGCAGGGGCGAGGGCCTGAATGGCCCCTGTCAGGGACCCTCGGCTCCAGGGGTCCAGGACCCAGCGGTCCAGACTTCGGAGATGTGTTTGTTTCCCCTTGCGGGGTTCACGGTGGGCTGTTTTCCACCACCACCACCACCACCACCACCACCACCACCACCACCACCACCACCACCTTGAGCAGGAGGGGGACGGGGTCCTCCTCCTCCTCCTCCTCCTCCTCCTCCTCCTACCCACCTCCTCCTTCCTCCCCCTCCTCCCCTCCCCCCCACCCCTCCTCCCCCTCCTCCTCCTCCTCCCCCTCCCCCTCCTCCTCCCCCTCCCCCTCCTCCTCCCCCCTCCAACTTGTGGTGGTGGTGGAAGACAGGCCACCCAGTTCAGGCTCGGATCGGCGACGCGCCAGGCCCGAGCGCGACGCGCCAGGACCGACCTCGCGGCTCCCGCCGCTCGCCCCTCGAGGGGGCCGCGGCCGCCGCCCTTCGGCGGCCTGGGCGAGCCCTCCTGCCGCCCGGCTGCTGCTGCTGCCTCGCACGGCCTCCTCGGCCCCCCGTCCGAGGGATCCAGTGGGCTTGTTTCCCACCGCCACCACCACAAGTAGGAGGGGGAGGGGGTCCTCCCCCCCCCTCCATTCCTCCTCCTCCTCCTCCTCCTCTCCTCCTCCTCCTCCTCCTCCTCCACCTCCTTCCCCCCTCCTCGTCATTATCATCCTCCACCTCCTTCCCCCTCCAACTCATGGTGATAGTGGTGGTAGCGGAAAACAGGCCCTGCAGGATCGGGAGGCTGAAACGTTGCAGGGCTTTCACTCGCCGCCTGCTGCAGTCGAGCCTGCTCGACAGGGCCCGCGCCAGAGCTCCCCTCGAGGGGCTCCCCTCGGGAGGAGTCGTCGGCTCGGCCCCGCGTCCTCGGACGAGGGGGGGGCTTCTGCCCCCACATGGTCGGCCTCGGCCTCGGCCTCCACCACCCCCCTTCCCCCTTCCTCCCTCCTCGCAGCCCTCCTGCCGTCTCCTCCACCCCCCCTTCCCCCTGCTCCCCCCCTCTGCAGGAGGAGGAGGAGGAGAAGGATGAGGAAGAAGAGGAGGAGGAGGGACGGAGGGAAGAGGAGGGGGAGGAGGAGGAAGGAGGAGGAGGAGGAGGAGGAGGAGGAGGAGGAGGAGAGGAGGAGAGGAGGAGGAGGGAGGAGGAGGAGGAGGAGGAGGAGGAGGAGAGGGGAGGAAGGAGCAGGAGGGAGCGAGGAGGGAGCTCCTCCTCCTCCACCTCCCCCCTCCACCCCCTCCTCCGACTTCCCGCCCCCGTGCCGCCAGCTGCCCCGCCCCCGGGCCCTCCAACACGAGCCCTGCTCCCTGCGGGGAAAGGTAAGGGGGGACAAGAGCACGCGACGCCCAGCGGCGAGCACAGGCGCAGCGACGACGCCGACGACGACGACGACGACGACGACGACGACGACGACGGGATCGTCGACGACGACCGCGACGACGTCGACGACGACCACGACGACGACGACGACGACGCCGGCGACGAAGAGGGCGCGACAAAAGGGGGTGCGAAAATGGGAGGGGGGGGGCGCGACGACGGCGCGAAGGGCGGAGGAGAGGGCACGCACGGGGCACCAGCGGCGAGCGGCGTGCGCGGTCCTTCTTCTTCTGCTGGAGGTTCGACATCTTGTGGTCCCCCGCCTGGGTCTCCTGGCGACGAGATCCCCTGGCGTCAGAGGAAAAGGTGCCCTACACCTCTACCCTTCCCCCGTTTTACCCTTTCGGGCCTCATAGGAGGCCCTCGTCGCCAACGCTGGATCCGCCCTCGAAATTCTGGTCAGAACACACCCCGGGAGACGTCTGGGAAGCAGCGGTATCGGTACCTGTTGGTTTCCCCATAGTGTGGCCCCGACGTGATGCTCGAGGAGGATGAGCAGGAGAGAGAAGAGGGCGAGCAGGAGGGAGAGGGAAAGGGGAAAGGGGAGGGGGAGGAGGAGGAGGAGGAGGAGGAGAAGGAGGAGGAGGAGGAGGAGGAGGAGGACGAGGGAGGGGGAGAGGGGGGAAAAGAGTGAGAGCGGCAGGGCGAAGGGGCGGGGGGTCGCAACCTGCACGGGAGGCAGATCACAGATCAGGGGGGATGGAAACCAAATTCGAATGTGTTCCTGTGTGTAAACTCGGCTGATCCTGAACAGTGGTTGTACGGATCGTTTCGCTTCCGCTCCCTGCTTGCGATTGCAACTGTACCATCTAAACGCACGCCTATCCCCGGCAAAACGGAGATGCACAAAGACGCCACGCTACAGCGCACGGCCACACGATGGCTAAGCAAACCTATAGGACGTAGACAGGGTACTGAAGCGCACCGCGATTAACAGTGCCGGGTGAGCACGGCTCTGGGGCGCCTGTCTGGGACCTCGCCCAGCAGATCACACGGTCACGCCGAGAAAGGGGAGGACCACGACGAGAGGCAGGGCAGAGGAGGGCAGGGGGGAGAGGGGGTGGAGGGGAGGGAAAAGGACCAAGCAAAGTGCCAACCATCCTCCCTCCCCTGCCTCTCCCCTCTGCTCCTGCTCCCCCTCCCCCACAGTGTCCACCCTCCGCGCCCGTGCCCTCCCGCTCGTCCCCGGAGGCTCCAGGGCCCCAGGAGGGCTCCACAGGTCCGTGGGAGTCTCCGGCTCCCCAGACCAGCACGGCCAAAAAAACACGCGCAGGCCTGAAAATTCGATCCGCCTCCTCCACCTCGCCATCCTCCAACCTTCTCCATCCATCTCATGCTCGATCCTCCTCCGCGAGAATCCTTCCCCTCCGCTTCATCATCCCCCTCCTCCTCCTCCTCCTCCTCCTCCACGTCCTCGTCCTCCTCCTGATCCAACAACTCCTCCATTGCCACACCCACCTCATCCTTTGTCTTCTCCTCTACCATCCTCCTCCATATCCCCCTGCTGCTGTTCCTCTGTGAATAGATGTTATCCTCAA